TAGGGTCCCAAGTGACCCCTGCTTCAGGCTCCCAAAGAGTAGGACAGGCATGTGCCACAGTGCACAGCTTCCTGCTTGTCTTAGATGTAATGCACTAATAGGAATCCTTGATCAATATGCTGCTTAGCTTTACATGTTTTTGAACTTTAAACAAGTGGTATCATACTGTATGCTATTTTTAGCAATTAATTTTCTTGGTATAGCACAATATTTCTAAGATTCACAAATGTTGATGTTAATATTTTGAACTGTTCAGTAATTTTTAGTACTCCAACACTATATCTTTTTTCTTCTCTATAACAAATGACTGTATGAATTATAATCACTTGTCCACTTTCCATACAATCAACATCTGGCTTGACTTTTGTATTCTACCAGAGAACAAGCATTTCAGGTTTTATAGGCCCTGCAGTCTGTCACCGCATCTCCACCTACATGCATAAGCAGCCAGACAATACTAGAAACAAGTGATCAAGTCTTCTTTTTGCTAAAAATTCAATTTATAAAACAGACTAGTGGCTGGATTCACTTGAAGACCACAGGCTGTCAAGCCTAATACCTAGAAATGGAACTACTGGCTCACAGGGCGCATACGCCATTGCTGGGTAAGGCCAAATTACTCTACAAAGAAGTACCAACTTGCACCACCAGCAGTTGCACACACACACAACACTTACTAGTCTTTACTAAATTCTGATGACCTACTGGGTATGAAATGATTTCGCTGTAGTTTTACCTCATATTTCCCCTATATAAGGTAGAATATCTTTTTACATTTATTAATTTATTTCTTCTTTCTCCAGAAGCATCTAGTTATTTCTTCTGTTGAAGAGGAGGAAGAAGGGGCTTAAGATGTACAGTTGTTATCTGAATTAGTGGTTTGTCTTTTCAATTTATGGTTATGGGGTAAACAAACGTTTTTGTCAATATGGTCTGATTTATCGATGTTTCCTTTAAAGGAATAAACTTGTACTTGTGTCTGCTTAGTAACACACTGTAGTACCACATACCCACCTGATATGTGATCATGGGCGAGTTTCCTTATCTGTTAAATGTGGATAATATTTGTATTTACTTTATATGATTGTTATAATTACAATAACATACATGTATAAAATACTGATGAAAGTGTCTGACACATAGTAAATGCTACATAAATGACTGCTCTTACTTCCCCAAGGTTGAGAAGATTTTTTTCTTGCATTTCTTTCAAAATGTAATGTGTTCTGAACACTCAAGACTATAAATCTTGAAATGAGTTAGGGGTGTGGTACATCTGAAGTAGGATCCAAGGTTTTGCGCTTTTTTTAATGTACATAGCCACCTTCTCCAGCAACAATTACTGGATAATCATTCCCTTCTTCATCGACCTGAGGCTGTGCTTCTATGTTCTGCAGTACCAGGACTGAACCGGGGCCTCAAGCCTGCTGCGCAAGTGCTCCACCATTCAGTCACATTCCCATCCTGTTGGAGTTACCATATGTGGCTTCTTTATATTTGTGGGTTTGCTGTCTTGGATTCCATCAGTCTCTATTATTTCCCATCTTAAATTATAGTGATGCTAAAGCCCTCTAACCTGGGAGGGTAAGTACAGTACCATATTTTTCTTAAAGACTTCCATATGATTCCTAGCTTTTTGTTTTCATGTATATTTTACAATTTACTGCCAATTTTCATAACACAAACACACATGCTGGGATTGCAGCAGCAGAAATTACATCAACTCTAGAGAACTTGGAGAGAATTTATTTTTATAAAAATTGTATGTCACTTTTTTTTATAAACTTGATGGTATCTCTCCATTTAATTTGGTCTTCTTTAATGACTTTTAGTGAGGCTACATAACATTTTTTGTAATGATCCTTTTAAATTTATCCAGAAGTATCTTTTATTTTTTTTCTTTTCAAAGTTTTATTGATAAACATATAGCAATGAGACAGTTTCAAGTCAAATCGAAAGTACAGTTTCAACAAATAATACACTGCATATATTCTTCTTAGTGGTTAATTGCTGTACAAGA